TTCGTGGACTCTAAAGAGCATTGACAGGGATACTCCTGTGGGGAAGGAGGCTGCTCCAAAGCTGAGCCTTTCAGGTAAGAGAAAACAGAAGAAAATTAAGGGTGACATTGGTGCAAGAGGAATTGGATGCCGGATGAGAGAAAATCCCCAGGAATCAGTAGGTGTTTAACAGGCAAAGCGCCAATGACAAAAGCAGCAAACACAGATGTGTCTGGATTCACCTCAGACAGATCTTTGAGGAGAACCTGCCTGGGCCTTTTTGTGAACGCTTCCCCTCAAAATAAAAGGCTTTTCAATTCAAGAGAGACAAATTTTGTTGTGAGTTTTAGCCACAGAGAAGATTTTGTGACTAGACAAAGGCCACACACATTTTGTATGCATCTCCCCCCCATCCCACAGTGTGCTGAGGGCACATCCCCACTTGTGGGATTGGCAGCAGGGCCTGCAGCCTCCATGCAGCCAGGAGGCCTGCTGGGCTGCTCCCTGCTCCCTCCCCAGGCAGCAGCTTGCAGTGCCATCCCACAGATCCTGGCCTTCCCCTTGTCCTGAGGTCTCCAAAGCCCTCCCAAGAACACTGGGCTTCACGAGCAGTCTCCTTCCATGGAGCCCAAGAGACCCTGCTGGCCCCCCTGGAGGGGCACAGCGCATTACCTACAGCCAAAAGAAAGAAAACTGGACACACAGTACTGCATTTGCCATTCAGTTCTAGCTTACCCCTTCTATTTCAAAACAATAATTATATTCAATGTGGTGGAGAGAAATAAAGATCTTCTGTACATCATATGAGCAATTCCACAGCTGGAAAAAGCCAAGCTTTGAGGCACACACACCCTTTCCCAGATCTAAAACGGCAGCAACACCGCCCGCTCTCAGTCAGAATAAAGGCTTATGTGTTTAGAAATGTGTCCATATATTCCAATTACAACACCAAACTGGCCTCATACAAGCAGCTGCCTCTCTTCACAAACTTCAGCTCACTTGTAACTTCAGCCCATTGTGGCTACACCAACACTGCATCGATTTCATGGCACGTATCACAGTCTCAGTATGGAGAGTGATTGCTGTAGCTAGGGCAGCAATATTAGACTAAGCTGTACGGAAGAAATACTGATATAATCTTAAGCATCGTGATATTGCCCTAATATAGATGTACAGAGTGAAGAAAACACTTGCGCAATGTATATTTAACTTGACACATTATAGCTCTCTATATTACCCTATTATGTCAAAATGTAATATACCATTAAATCAAGAACAAATAAAATCTAAGATCTTTTTTCTTCCCCTGGTTGTTTTTCTTAAGCTGCCTGTCCTTGAAAGTCATGCCATTGATACAGCTGAAAAAACAGAAGGATCAGCTGTAGGCAACTAGATAGATCAGAAGGCTGGCAGTGAGTTATTGAAATAATCCTCTCTTTGGCTGTATATTTACATCTAACCCAAGCTCACAGTTACTTCAGGCTTTGATCTGAAGCCATTGGTAGTCTTACATTAGGCTTGCAGTGCCCACACAGTGTACTGAACTGTTGCTGAAGGATCCCATTTATTCCCTAGACGTGCGTGCTACTCAAGCCATCACCAACTAGCAGCCTCTGCAGGCAGAGCTGGTGGGTCATCCATTCTGCAGTCAGCAGTAAGCAGAGGATTATTTTTTTTTAATTTGATTTTTTTTTTATTATTTCCACCAGTCTTTTGCCTCTGGTGAGCTGTTATTAGGGGTCTTGTGGCACTTCCTTCACTAGCATCTGCCTTCTACTGTGTCCAGGCAGTGCCCTCCACCCCACTGCCAAAGAGGCCAGGTGGACAGAGCTTTCACTTCTCCCAGACCTCTGCCCAACCACATGGAAAACCAGCAGGCTGGTCTGATTAAGAGTCTTTAAACCCTGGCATTTGCCTTTTTAAGAAAAGATTTGTTCTCACAATCTCCTACCATTGGACACCTTCAGGCTAAGTCTGCTGTCTTGATGACTACATCAAATGTTGGTCACCTGCTTGTTTCTGTGATGAAAACCTATTCCAATGGGGATTTGAAAGACGAGAGAGAGGAGGAGAAGGAAGTAGTACTGAGGAATTCACCTTCTGCTTCAACAGTATAAGTATTTTCGCAAAACGACTGGAACCCAGGAGTAACTTAAGTGCTATTAAGGCAATAAATGATTCACCAAACTTGTTAGTGGAGACAAGGTGCAAGACAGAATTATATAGCTGGCAGTTCTTCCCCCCCGCCATCTTAACATTTTCTCTGGAAGGTACCAAAAAATACTATATCTTGAGTCCAAAAAGCCGCCTTCTTTAAAAAGAAGTGTATTGAATCACTTCTTGGAGGAGAACATAGCTGGAGATAAACATCTCTGAGTGACAGCACTGGAAAGGAGAGCACAAAGCAAGTTTTTCCTAAGGACTAAGCAAAGCCATTGCCTATCGTATCGGTTCCTTTGGTCTGCTGGACCTGTCACCTAGCAGTTACCCAAGTACAACAGGAATGTCTCTGAACCAACTAGCTTCAACACTTCTTTACATATTAAAGTCAGGAGAAAAGGTGAAAGAAGTTCAAAGGCACAAAGTAAACAATATTTAATTCAACGGTTCATGTGCAGGCTTTTCCCCCTTCTGATGTTAGCCCACACACACACAAAATGCAGCGGTTCTGTGAATATTTTAAGTTTTGCTTAACAGTTCTAGTAACACAGGCCACTCATATTTTCCTCTAATCATTCATTCTGACAGATCCGTTGTGAATAATGTCAAATACTTCAGCTCTTTTCACTATTTGGCTCCAGAGCATTAGTCTACTGGAATTAGGACTGTCATTTAAGATTTCCAATAAGGACAGGATCCCGAACTACAGTTGCAAAATTTCATCAATGTCTAGTCAAGATTTTTTTTTGACAGAGAAGTGATAAATTCTTTTAATTGAGATCATTTCAAGAATATGTAGTATATATGAAAGATATGCCTAGCCCACTGAAAAGTCCACAGGGAATCCTGAGTCCTTCCTCTTTTACAGCCAGGAAGGACAAAAAAAGAGATTGAGACAAAGTTTCTGTAGACTCATGGATCTGTAGACATACATTTCAGCCCACCCTTCACATCTGTTCTGTGCATGCAGTTTGGAGATCTCCCAGATTTTTTATTTTTTAAAATCTTTATTACAGCAAGATTCAAAACAAGTCTTTCAGGCAAAAATGTCAGGCCACAAAAAGAAAACAACCAAGAAGGTGTAAAGAATCACACTACTATTAAAATGTCTTGGATTTGACCAAACTGGCACAGCAAAAAGAAATATATATTAGTCCCCAATTCCCATCTTCAGCAAGATCCTGTAATGCACATGTCACAAAACTTGCTCAAGTACCCTACACAGATGCACTAAATTCTAACCAGATATTAATAAACTACATTCATTTCAACTTTGTTAAAAGACCTTTTTCTGCTGAGCCTTTTACAGCCAGCAGGGTAAATCCTTTTTCCTCCTGCAGGAGGACAGAGCACAGCCGGTAACATCGTGCTCAGGCAGGCAGCGCGCGGCTCAGTCACAGGCTCAGCATCGCTAGGCAAGAACTCGCTGCACCCTGCTCTAAGCGCTGGGTTTCAAGGATCCACTCCACTCAGATCTTAACATCTTCCTCTGACACCCCGCTGGTAGATACGAAGTGGGAAGAATGTGGAAACCAGAGGGCTGGAAGGATATTTGGGACACAGTGGAAATAACCTTCCCCTGCAGCCAAGGAAGATAAACGTTATTCCTTCGTTATTCCAAACGCAATGCCAACCAGTGAACAAATGACTTTGCCTTTCACCCTAGGTTTTAGCTGTATGGTGCTGTATGCTTATTACAATAATAAGCACTTGAGGATGAAGTCTTGCTCAGAAAATTGAGCCTCACTGATTTCCTGAAAGGACTAGACAGGGACAACACTTCATCTTTTTCTTCCTCCCCCTCCTTCCTTTAGTTAATAAAGGGTAAACCAGTTCAGAGTCAAGACACATAAACGGGAGCTGAAGCACTGAGTTTCCATTCCGTTATTAAAGTTTAAGACTCTTTGCTAGTTAGCATAACTTAACTCCATCCTGCAACCCGATCCCCGTGGCCAAGCCCAGCAGCACTACAGCGCGCAGTGCAGCCAGCGGCGACCCGTCCAGGTTTGCTCACCTCTCAGATTGCTCAGGGATGTGCTGCGGGAGGGAGGGATGCGTTAATCACACTGCTGCCCACACTGCAACGCTCCGGCTGAGCACCTGATGGAGAAGGCATTCGGCAGGCACAGAGCCAGCTCTGCCCGGGGCTGCCTGCGTCCCATTGCTCTCTGCAGAAACCCGCTTAGCGCTGCCCAAGGAGAACTTGCAAAGTCTGTCCTGGGCTACCCAGCTCACGAGTGTCTGCGCTGCTCGGTTTTGCTTTACCAGGGCTATTCCAGCCGGATTACATGCAACATGCCCTTCGGACACACGGAGCACCCAAGGGATGCCCGAGTCCCCTCGGCTGCTCCTGCCCTCCAGACGCACGCTACTTTCAGAGCGTGCATGGAAACGCTGTTTATAAGCGTCAGGTATTTGCAGGGATAGTTCGCTCGGCTGAGCCTGCCACTAACAGCTCCTCCTGGCGTACTTCTCGCCGCCTGCACAGTTTGTCCCTTACTCCTGCCACGGCTCTGCAAGGAGCAGCGGCCGACGGCTGAGGAGCGGGACCCCAGCGCCGAGCATCCCCCAGCTGCACCACTTCTTCAGCACAATCATTTTTAAACATTACAGCGTGGCAAGCAGTCCCCAGCACTTGTGTCACCCCAGAATAAAGCAAGAAGAGCACAAGCCAGCGCACCACAGCCCAGCCGACCAGTAACCGCGAGGGGCTGCTACAGACTCCCCTCTTTCACGGGGACGAGGGCAGCTCTTGGTTTCCCTCCTGGGACCAGCGCAGCCTCCCTCAGCCACCGCGCCGCTGCCCAAACTTCTTCATCCCCCTCACGCCCAAACTCCTCGCCAACTCCCCGCGCCCTTACTTGAAGCTGAGGACGCAGAGGGGCCGGTAGGACTTGTGGCTGGTGTTCTCCGCCATCCGCTTGCCCCAGAAGTCGTTGGCGAAGGCGGCGGCCACGGGGGCGGCCGCCCTCACGTCGGGGTTGTTGACGATGGCCCAGACGTCGTCGTGCACGAACTCCCCCGGCAGCGCGTTGCCGTAGCACAGGGCGCACAGCCCCGCCACCGCCGCCGCCGCCGCCGCCGCCTTCCTGCCCGCTGCGGGCACCGGGGCCGGGGTTGGGGCTGGGGTTGGGGCTGGGGCTCGCTCCCGGTCCCGCTCCCGGTAGCGGAGCCCCGGCGCCGCTCCCGTCACCATGGTGCGGGTGCGGGGCGCCGAGCCGCCACCCCCGGGCCCTCCGCAGCCGCGGTGCGGGCGGGCAGCGGCGGCCGCATGCTGCGGGGCGGCACCGCCACCGCCACCGCCACCGCACCGGCACCGCCGGCGGCCACTCGCGCTCTGCCGGGGCGCAGCCGGCCCGCCCGCAGATAAACAGCGGCCGCCTCCCCGCGCCATCCCTCCTCCTCCTCCTCCTCCTCCTCCTCCTCCTCCTCCTCCTCCTCCTGCTGCTGCTGCCGCCGCTGCTGCCCCCCCCGCACGCATGCTCCTTGTCGTGCTGTCACCCCCGCCCGCCGCCGGCGGGGGGCTCTGTGCGCCCCGCTTGGCCGGCACCCCCCCGGCTGCCTTCGTCCCAGCCCCTCTGGGGCACAGAAATCCCCCGCAGCCCGGCTGTGGGTGCTGGTTTTGGTGGTAGGGAAGTTGGCCGCTCCGCTCGGTCCCGGATGAGGGGAGCCGGGTGGGACCCCTGCCGCCCGCACAGCCCCGCCGGTGGCAGCTCCCAGCCGCTGTGCCTCAAGGAAAGGACGCGGGCACAGCACCTGCTCAGCCCCTAAATGAAGGGTGCGTGGCCACGGACCCAAAAAACAAGGGCTCTGGTAATTACCTTACCCTTTAAATAAAGCCACCTTTACATAACCAAAAGAGCACCAGCGCTCCTCGGCCAAGGCGCTCCCATTAACTTCTGTGAATGGGCATACTCGGAATTGCCTCCTGAAAATAAAGATGTGCTCAGGTGGTGCAGCTCGCCACCAGCTCGAGTGGCAGCAGGCTGCCGTGTGTGTGTGTGTGTGTGTGTGCCCCAGCGTGGGATCACGCCGAGCAGGAGCCAGGCGAAGTTTTGACAAGCAAGCCCGCCCCAGGAATGCTTTTCCCCCCTGCCTGTTTGGCACTGGGAGGGATCTGGTATTTTCCAAGCGCAACAGAGAGCAAGCAGGCTTTTAGCTGGACTTTTGTCATGGCTAAGAATAGCAGTGAACTCCGAGCAGGACAGCGTGTTTATATCCGGGATGGGAGGAAACCCTACCAGAAGCGGGGCCATCAGTCAAACTTTCTCTTTAAGTGGCTGATGAAATTTTAGCAGACGGCTCCCCAGAGCTTTCCCCAGCGTGGGACGCCGTTCATTGCGGTGGGGCGGCGTTCATTTCCACCAGGGTTTTGAAGCCTGGGTCGCAGAGCCAGACTGCAGCGTCTCTGCCCGGGCACAGACACAAGCAGCAGCTCCAGAGGTGCTGGGGTACTGAAGCCCACCGGAGCCCAGCAGCTCTCAGGGAATAAAGTCACTGCTGCAGACATGCTAAAAGGCAGAACTGGGACTTTCTGTGGCATAAATTAAAATGCTGGCAGTTACTGGGAGGAGGGACAGGGAGAAGGACAGACAGCAACACAGACAAAAGGAAAAGAACTTTTAAAAGATTTAAAGGCTGAGATTGCTGTAGAGTGCAGGTAATTACTCTACCTAACCAAGGCTACAGTCCTCTGCGGTTCTGAATCGAGCACCTGAGGGTCTAACTGCTCTAAGTTGGTAACTTATGAAGAGCTTATAAAATCTCACTTCTAATCAAGGGATTTAATGCCAGTATCTCGTAACAGTAACATGCACACCACACAGTACAAGAGACTTGCTCCATGGAATACATAACATAGCTTCGTACACAGAGCTGTGATTTCCCATTTGCTTTCATAACCTGCCATGCTTGATGACACCAGAAAGCACAGAGAGAGCCTCATTCTGCCCTCGCTGTCTTTAGGAGAGCGCTAACACTGACAATCAGCTCTCATCTAGCATGGAAACCTAGAGCGTGAGTGGGATAAAACCCCTACATCCTTTCTTACCTATTTTCTTTCACACTTATCAAACCATTTTCCAGGAAGTGTAGTTAACACAGATTTGTCAAGTTTCCTTTACGAGGAGGTGATGCTGCTCCCACTTCTCCATGCTGGCTGAAAAGATGTATCAGATATTTACTTTCTTCTCTCATTCAAAAGTCTGAAAGAGACAAATAATGCTCACGTCAGACACAGAGGAAGACCGCCTGTTCTTAACACGAAGACCTGCTGAAATACAGTCTTTTCCTTTCAATCCACAGGTGTGAAACCTTACCTTGTAACTCAGCAGTCATTGTCACAGACTGAAATAAGAATATTATCTATTTCTAGAATCTCTGACCACCTATAAAGAAATTAACAGCAAATAGTAATAATTCAGAAGGTAGGAAAACACACATTCACCACTTGTATTTTGGTCTTAAGTCAATACACGCATGCGTGTGCATGGAGGGGAAGAGAATGAGGGAGAAAAGGGAATCCAGGGGTGGGAAGGTTTGTTCCAAAGCTGCTTTGACTCTTCCAAAAATATCTGGTCTAATGAGGAGCATTTCTCCCTCCTGCAAGCCCTGATTCTTTACCTAAAGTAGCCATGTCACAACTTCGGAAACGTAAAGCCAAATTGCTTCTCAGAAAAGCAAATCTGAATGATGGGATCATAGCTGAAGCACTCCAGCTATTTGGCTGTTTCCCTGTATTCGAATCACAAGTTTTGTACCAGCTATGGAAAAAGATTGTTAAAAAAAGGCTGGTAAAGCTAGAGACCTCGCAACTAATTACACGCAGTGCTCAAAAACCTTGCTCCGCTAATTGAGCAGAGCTCACTACTTCTGAAGTAGGAAGGTTTAGTCTCCGCTCAGAGTAAAACATAAGGCAGGGTGTACACAGCAGCAGACACATCTGAACCGCTGCACTTCAAAGGGCTGAGCACCAATTGATCTGTTATTATCTGAAGATGGCAACAGCTCAAAGGCAGAGAGAAGCAGGGGAAGTTTTAAGTGTAAAGCTTAAACGTGGACTTCTGACGCGTTTGGCTTTGCGCTGACTGATTAGAGTAGAAGAATGCGGTAAATACAATTTAAAAGTTAAATTACCATATGGCCATAGCTAGAGGTAAATTTCAAAAGTAGAACATGTAAATAGTTTCTCGCTGTCTGAACAAATAATTTTACTTTTAAACTAAGCCACTTGGTAACTGGTACAATTGATTTTTGCTTGTAGTCAGTTACCGAATGGTTTTACATTTCGTTTCAATAGCCCCAGGCTGCAATGCTGTATCTGCTATGCATATAATCTTTGGTATCTACTATGCATATAGTCTTTGGTTGGTACAGATTGTGTTCATTCTGTTAAAAGCAAAAAAAAAAACAAAAAAAAAAACAACCAACCAACCAAACCACAAAAACTAAACAAAAAAATGAAGCAGCCACCATGCTCTGCCAGCTATTAAAGGACATTGCCATCTTAAATGAAATGAAGGAGTGCTGCAAAACCTGGCTCTGAGTTTGGCATTTAGTCCCCGCGTGCCATCTGTGCTGGAAGAGCCATGGCGAGACAGCAGCCCACGTGGGCCAGAGCCCCTCCGAGCAGTTCAGCGCAGGCATCGCTCTCTTTGGCCAAATAGGATTTGGACTTTGGAGTTCCCAGGAGCACTGCAACAGAGGCTGAAATCAAACACTGCGCTGGACTGAGCTAGAGCAATCCTAATTATGATCCTCTTTGCATGTTGCCATATTGATTTACTTCTGCGTCTATGCAGGCTACAGAAAGTTCGTCTTTGGCAGAGTCTTCCTAAAACCCAGTGAAAGCTCTTATGGCTTTGTTTTCCCTTTCAACTGCGGGCAAGAGCCAGAGGTATTGCAAGAAGTAGAGGAAAACTTCTTGCCCTTTGTACCCTGCAACTTTTGTTCTGGTCCTGTGATCCTTAGGAGACAAAGAGATCTAATATCCTCAGGATGACCTTTCATTTTCACAGGCATGCAGCATTGCAGCTCAGCCCACAAGCCCCTAATAAACCTGCTCTCCGTGGCAGTCATGGAGCGTGCTAAATATTAGTACCAAAAATACAAAGCCCCGAGTGTTCACAAAGCGGTATCAACGAGAAGATAACACATGACACAAACCACTTGGTGGAGCCCCGTGGATGCACATTTCCCCTCGCTGACACAGATGGCGAGTAACAGAATCCTCCCTGACCCACTTTTGGATGCGTTTGTCACCTGCTTCATATGCTCGTGTAAAACGGGAGATTTCAAGCCGGAGAAAAGCTTGCCATAGTTGTTACCGGATTAGCAGGAATCTCTTTTTCAGCTCATACAACAAATGCATTTTCTGCCTTTGAAGAGACCCGGTTTAAGCTTTAGTCTATGGGCAAGGCTGTATGGGGTCTTTAAACCCCCCAGCAGAAGCAACATCCATCATTTGACAGAGGGAAGAGGCGTGGGACAATCTGTACAAAGTGACTTGGGCTTGTTATTTGCTATTTAGGGTTTGGGGACAATACAAAGGCAGCACAAGTCCCACTAATGAGAATAGTGGGGCTCTTCATGAGCAGAGCACGAGCAGAATATGTCACAGGCTGCTGCAGTAGTCTACTCCAGTGGGTTCACTCATTGTCTAAGGATATTACTGCTTCCCCTAAGCATTTCTGTGTGCTGGATTTGGGGGTGTGGAGCCTTGTGGTGGAATGGGGAGTGGAGGAGAGAAAGTATTTTTCTTTTCTGCTTCCTCTCGAAGCACTGCAGACATCTCCCAGAGCCAAAGACAGCTCTCAGTCTTGCCCTTGCCTGAAAGAGCAATTTTATAGCATAAGAGCAAGGGAAAAGTGCAGCCTATAGGGCCTGAGTCATGAGAGTTATCGCCTGTAACGTTCATCTATTTAATGCTGATTAAGTACAAGACGGCATAAGTTGAATTTTTATGTGCTTCACGGAAATCAGCTAATGACTCAGAACCACAAGAATGAAAAACAGAAAGCTCAGGACGGTCTCATTTTTGGCTGAGGGGATGAAGGAGTCAGATGACCCAACATTTCCTTCACTTACAGTGCACAGCCCCGGACTGCAATCTTGAGAATCAGCGAGAAGGCTGTTTCTCATTGCAAGCAGGTCAGGATGAGTGTGAGGCTGTTTAGTGGCAATCTTGATGGAGAGAAGTTGTTTTAAAAGGCCGGCTTTCCTGAGAAATGGGCATGAGTAACTCAGGTACCACGCGCTTCCCACTGTGCAAAGAGATGATTTACTGTGTAAATGGCCATGTGGCTGTAAGGTTGGGTGCTGAACTGCTGAGAGCATCGCAGTCAAAAGCAGCATAAGAAAAAGCTTTGGGCACAGCACCCAGAGCCATACTGCTACTGCACTGAGGCACTGCATTCCAAAGAAGGATCTGATTTTGGTGAGATGAAGGAGGCTTTTTTGGCTGTGGACTGAACTGACTCAGTTTAACTTGACTCTGTGCTCAGCCTTCAGAGCTGGCTGTACATTTCACAATGTAATTGCCTCCTAGAAGTTTGTATGTTGAAATAATTACGGAGTTTGAAGCCCCCAAGTCTGTCCCCTGTTCAGATTCAGCTGGTGTGTGTTTTCTGGGCATCTCTGAGCTGGAACTCAGTAGCAGTCCTCTCCTAAAACTAACTGATTTATACAAAAGATCTGGCATCTCTAGTTTCTATTGAATTGCAGTCACTGCATATGGCCTGATAAAATCAGATAGTCAGATAAAATCAGGAAATCTCGACATTTATTCTCTGATTACCAAGCAAGCTCAATTTCATCATGATGAAGTAGAAGCCAGTGGTTATAATTATCTCCCTTTTCTTTCATCTAGTTTTTAATATTTGGGTTTAAGATGGAAAAATTACAAATGAATAAATCTGCACCACGTCCTGTCAAGATTTTCCTCTGTATAATAATAATATTCATATCTCTACAATAATGAACAGCTGGAATAAATTTTTAGTAAAAATATTAAAAACTATATTGTAGAATAAGCCACATGGAGTCCCTGTAATTTGAGCAAGGTAAAAGTTTTCATAAAAGCTATTGAGAAAGGAATATGATTTTTTTTTTTTTCAGGTGACTTTTTTGGATTTTAGTTTTACAAGCAGGACACGCTTTTGCTTTACAGTGCTCAACTTTCTAGTGTTTACATTGAACAAACACTTGGGGTAAAAATGATTCATCAATCAGCCACTCTGGACGCTGCTTCTTCTCACTAGACCTCTACACTGAGGTGTACCGAGCTGCTCAAGCTGTGTTAAAGCAAAGTTTTCGGCTGCAGTTACAATGACCTAACCCAGTGCTGGTGCTAGGCTGGCTGGAAAGCTGTTTCGCAGCCCTGCCTTTCACCTGCAGACATCACCACGCACCAGCTGCTGTTCTTACAAAGTCTCTGAGAAGTTCACAGGCAGCCAATAGATCAGCTAAAATCGAAGCAGTAAAACTCCACACAGCTTCTCAAGGGAAACAATTTGGATCCCCAGTTCAGTGGCCAGTTGTAAAGGGCAGCACCAGGGGAAAGTGGAATGAGGAAAGAGGCAGATGGGAATTACGGGAGTAGCTTTTCAGTGCTCCCTTTTCTCTCCGCATTGTTTCCACAGACCATACATCTAAATGACCCTCAAACTGGAGGCAGGATAAATTGGACCCTCCCTAGAGATCCTTGCTTCTTCAGCACTCATCTGCACTCCTGGGAGCCTGCTGTGGACAGATAAAATATGTTGCAGTGCTTGAGGAATTTTTAATAAAAATATTAAGGCCATTCTGAATGAAAGCGATTATCTACTTGTGAGAGCACCAGAGGGAATGGTAGAATGGTAGGTGCAGATGGCATCTAGGTCAGCAGGTCATCAAGATGCCAGCACATCTGTGCGTTTTACCAGAACCTCCTTAAACTAAAGGCAGACTAAGCACAGAGCAAGACAGAGGACAGGCTATAAACCAGAGCCCTCGAGAAGTGATGAAAGGAAGAAAAGAACAGGCTTAGAGCCATAAACCACCCAGATAAGGAGGGAAAAGTAAATCCTAATCCAGGGGTGGAAGAGGATGAAGAAACAAAAGATCACTGCCAGCTTCTAAGAGCACAACAGCAGCACTTGGCTTCCAGTCCAAGAAGAACCCAGGAGACACAATGAGATGTCTACAGCCGCTGCCCCTTTCCCTCTGCACCACTGCAAGTAATCAGGGGCGGACCACCTGAATTCATACCTCTTGGCGATTGGGAGCATGAAATTCTGTTTTGCATCAAGTAAAATCACCATTCTCCCCTGTATTGTCTCACATTGAGCTTTGTTCCATCGTTATGGCTGTGTTATGGCAAAATGGGTTTGGAGAACACAAACCTGGCAAGGTTAGCCATGCCAACCACATCTACTAGCACTACTTACACTCCTTTTACCCACCTGAGTGCAAACTTTTAGCTTGCCTGAAATGCTCTGGAGAGACAAACGTGTGTCTGTTCTCAGTGTTCCCCATGATGAGTAGAAAAGTACAAGCTCAGGATTTCCAGCTCCTCCTGCTAGTAGGTACCACCGGGCTCCTTCCTCTCAGATGCTGGGAACAAGGCTCTCTCCGAGGAGATGAGTCTCTTGTGCTTTCTTTTGCCCATCCTATGCTCTGTTCTCCTGCATCATTCCACTCCAGCTTTCTTCTCAGTTGGTAGGAACTTGTAACCTTTGAATGGATATTGTTCAACAAATTTTAAAAAATTCTGAGTTTTGCCTCATTTTGGAACTTACAAAGTTTCCCGTGGCTCCAGCCCACAGCCAAAAGTCATCTGCAGGTCAGCTGAAACACTCCAGGGTCCCTGCAATGGGGTTGGGAAGCTTTCTGGGCAGTATTCGCAGCCTGGAAGATGCAGAAATCAAAACCAGACACAGTCTGAGAGCATGCCCACTGTGCTCACTGCCACTAAACTTGCTCAGCAACACCTCTCAGTGGTGTTTTCTGTCACCTCTGGTAGACCAAAAATTTCATTCCAGCCTGCTTAATGACGACTCAATTGTGCTTTGCTAATTTTTGGTTTGTCCATAGCAATGTAAAATGTCAATTAATGAAGCCCTCCGAGTGAGGGAAACGTAACCCCTGCTCTTTTCTTCCATCCCTGGGCCATGGCATCCAAGGAGCCTCAAGAAAAACCCCAGCACAGCCCAACTCTGAAGAAATGCTGCAGAGATCACCGCACACCTTGTGATTTGGGCCTGTTTCTAGCTATTTCTGTACTCCGTAGAGCAACAAGGGTGAGGAACGTGAAAATCCTAAAGACGGGGTTAGTCTTTGGCACGAGGCTGGCGTCTGCCATGGGAAATTAATCCACTCTGAGCTGCAGCGAGCTGAGCTGCTGAGTTTGTATTCGTGTCACCGAGACCGCTTACACTCACTGCTGCTCTGTGAACTCTTCTTAGTCAGCCCCGACAGTGGCTTACATCTTGATTAAAACAATAGCCTACAGATCATGACCCATTAAATAAGGAAAAACGACCCACCTAATATCATTTTTATAAATCAGAAGTTCACCTTCCAAAATATTTTAGGGAGATGAATAAAGCGATAGTGGGGATTTTATTTATTTCTTATTTTATTTTTTTTGGAGAAGGGGGATTAGAGGGTCCCAGGGCACTTTGTCACTGAAATAACCACATCTGTCAGATAAATTGGCAGAGCCATTACATGTAGTTTCTAGAAAGAGTTCCTCATATGCTGAGGTCTTGGATACCTCACAAAAGATTTGCTCTCCGGTCAGTTGAAGCAAAATCATATTAGAGAGGAAAAGTAGTTCAGAGCCAGTTAACGTTTTTGATTTTCTGAATGTCACATTGTCCAAAATGTTAATGGGAAAATGAGGGCTCATAAGAGGCGACTTGACAGGAATCACATTTTAATTTCCTTTGCAAAATTTTGGAAGCTGCTCTCTCTCTCTCTCTCTGTCTCTCTCTCTCTCTGCAGTGGCTACCTTGCTGTTGCTGCCTTTTGGGGGCCCCCGTACCCACCCTATGAAGAACAGACATCCCAAGGCCCTTCCTTTCTTCTTTTGCAAGATGCAGTCAGAATCCCATTACATTTTTTAATTTGTTTAACTGGCTTCTAACTTCTCAGGCTCCTGTCATGCCATAAAACTGACTGATGAATGACAGGGCCCTGCTAGGTCTGCCTAGTGTGTAATACGAGCTCCCGGGGCTGGAAACAATAAAACACAATTTTCTGAGAAAGGGGGTTTTTGTGAGAGACATGCTAGCCCTGACTTCACCACACCCTTTGATTTTGTCAGCAAGTTACGGCTGGGTTTCGTTGCAGTTTCTATTATTACGAGTCCTCGGTTCTCAAAGGTAGGGAGGATATTCTGGGCAGCTCAAGGTCATTTAGGAAGAGAGCTGATGAGTGCCGTGCCGGAGCCTCGCTCTGCACGTACAGGAGCTGGTGGAAGAGTTGCATAATGACACGGCCACGGCTCACACTGAGCAGCCTGCAAGAGACAAGAATTTCAGATGAATCGGAAGGCAGTCCCTCCCCTCCCACAATGACCTCCTTGGCCAACCTGCTTGGAGCTGCCCTGAGCTGAAATTCCTCTCTATCTTTTCCCATTACACTTTCAAAGGACTGTGGCTTGAAAAGAACAAAGAAAGGGCTGCCATTAGAGTCCGGCATTCAGCTATTATTGTCGCATGCTGGTTTGGAAACAAAGTAAAGAAATGTTAATGTAAGGTTTCAGCTGGCTGTGTTAATACAGTCAGGCTGTCCTGGAAGAAAGGCTTCCTCAAAACTCTGAACACTCTTTCTCTGGCTTTCTAGGCAGAACTGATCAGATCCCAATCCAGGCAGGGGGACAAAGCAAAGAAACGGGGGAAGAAAGGAAGCCTTTTTGCTCCATCATTCAACACATCTGAAGCAGCAAAGGTGCAGGAGAGCTGGGAGCTCTGCCCAAGGCTACAGAGGGGCTTGGGCAGGGACAGAATCAGGAGCTGCAAACAGCGCCCCCCCCCGACTGTGGGGCCATCTCCTACCTCTGGACTGGGAAGGGACACAGATTTCACTGGCTCTGTTCTGGTTCATGCTGGGACAAGCAGGCAGGAGTGAGAGATGTGGGCATCAGGCATCGTCATACTGGTGCTGCTGGAACAAGCTTCAGTAAAAGCTGTTGTTGTAGCTCTTCACAGAGGCAGCTGTTCCTCTGCCCTATCCAAGCACCTCTAGAGAGCACGGGGAGGCTGGAACAAGGCTTTCCCCAACCTTCCTGAAGCTTTCCTGGGGACTTTTTCAGTCTTTGTACTCCTGAGATTTGGAGATAAATGTGGGACAGGGCTTTGCTTGGGAGACACAATCCTGTGTCCTCAGGCCACATGCTATCTGTAAATCAACCCTAGAGCAAAATCCCAAACGGGCAATAAGGTAGGATGCCACATCATTACAGCATCTTGCAGCAGGCTGTGCTGGTGTCAGAGCCAGAGAAGCAGGAACGCATATGCCCTTACCATGACAGCATAGGAGATTTTGTTTTGCTTTTGAATAAATGATTGATAGGGTAAAGGCAACTGGGGGAACAGGTCAAACAAAGCTAATGAAAAAAGTAAATCCAGTCGTCATCCTGTTATATCACTTGCTAATAGAGTGGTGTTTAGCAATAGCTTGTGTGTTGTAAGGCTTAAGGTTATCAGCAGAGTGACTGCAGAGAGCTGCTTAGAATTCATCCCACATCTGCAACCATAACCCAGCAATTTAGACAAAAACATGTACTCTCCATAGGTGCGTGGCATAGGCTATTACAATTATTAATACAGTAATAGTCATAATAAATTACGTATTGAGTGTATTTGTTATTCAGTGGAAAACTTAATTATAATATCCAAGCTGGCAGCAATTGATTTACTTTTTGTTATCTCTGAAATTGTATAATTAGTTCCCAAGTTACAACTCCTGTGAAATCTCTGCCTTGTAGGGGGTAGGAGATCTGGAGTTACAGCTGCAACCATTGCTCTTTCTGGCAAAGAGCGCTTTCCCTGGAGAATATTAATTTTTAACATAAAAATGAAAAATGAGTAAAATTGTGTTGTATAAAAAAGGGAATGCTCTGTATGAGCATCTCATGGAGTCTGCCCTCGTGTTGGAGGGATGTCCTTGGTAAAAGGAGCTCTCTAGTGTCCAGTTGCAATACTGCAGTTCGGAAAGACGATGCTGTGAGCACACAACCTAATAAAATAAATGTGCAAAGCAAATGGAAGGCCTATGCCTCTTGCTCGAGGTACTTAGTGCTAATGCATAACGTGTAAAGTGCTACTTAAACATCACTATAACCCAAACCAACACTGTACTCAAAGGCTTTAAGGCACGAGGCAGAAATCTCATTCGTTCCCACCTATCCTTCTCAATCTGTTTTTTTACCTTTTTACTTCTGCTGCACTTCTGAAGTAGCTCCTGCTCGGTTTGTGGGGTGTGCACATCTGCCAGCATCCAGGCCATGGCAAAAAGATTTACAAGTTTACTCTCTTCCTTTCCAAAGACAGCAGAAGTGCCTGCCATCTGGGGAGCCAAGGTCAGGTGCGAATAACAGCTTGAGGTAGAATATTTGGTACAAATGAATGCCTAATTGCAGCTGCTGACATTTAACGCATGCACCTGATAAGGCAAAATTGTCTCATGCCAGACAAAACAAGCCCTTGATCACTAATCATAAAAAGCACAGAAAGTATAAAAAAGATGAGTGGATAGTAGTTTACAAAGGTGGCTACTCACTCTGTTTTTCTAAAATGAAGACCTTAATGCTTTAACTAGCAGTTATGCAGCAGGTTTGGCTGCATGCTACGATAATCAACACATTGCCTTTACACTGCTTTTCAATGCTTGCGTTCTGCTTTTTCAACAGGTTAGTGATAAACTCACTAACGTTGATAAAAATGAATTTAAAAGGTATATCTGGTCATCACTGGATATCACAGATGGGGAATAATGGCACTTGACAAATTGGCAAACTGAGATTATCTGCAAATATTATGAGAGACACTGGAAGCTCTTATAAAATACACCATCATTTTAATAGCATTTTGCTATTATGGCACCTCCCTTGTGGATACTCTGGTTTAATATTGCAAATATGAAAAACGATGACACAGTTGAAGCTTTGCCACCAAAAAGCACCATCTTGTGCTTCCTAAACCCTGCTTCCACAGCAGGGCTTATTTTAGAGTAGAAAATAAATTAAATTAAGATATAATAATTAACTAAATGTGTTTCTAAGGCAAAAAGCCCCGCACAGGGCTAAGTTGCTCACCTTTAATCACTACGAACAAAATGATGGTGGATTCCCTGCAAGCTACTGCGAGCCAGGAGTTGAAACCTTTCACCTTTAGATGTGTTCTCAGCAGTTTCTTCTTCTCCCTTTATTGGCCTCCATTATTGGTGTTCAGCGTACAGAGAAGCCATAGTTTTAGTAGCTGAAAAATACTTTAAAGAATAAAAGCCACAAACAACAAAGCATCCTGCCAGACTCCGTTCAATCATGACGATATTCATTTTTCTTTTCCTCCACCCAGCATTTCAGCTGAGATTTAAAGTGATTACTCTTGCTAAATGCAAAGCCCATCATATGAAAAATCTGCAGCCCTTTTTCCATTTTTTTTTTTTTATTATTTATTTCAAACCTGCAGTCATGGTGGCAATAGTTTGACCATTCTTGTGTCTTTTTTTTCAAAATACAACAAAGTGCCGACATATTCTGAACAGAAAGCTAAAGTGTTTCTTGCTTTGTAATAAAGTTCTCTTAAAATATATATATATAAAAGTCCTCTGATGCTTAATCTCAAAAACACTCGTTCCTTTTTCATTGAGATTAGGATTAGATCTTCTTTTCAGATCTCCTGCATAATCTAGCACAGAGAACTTCACAAAGTCCACAGCTAGGCTCAGTTTTATTTGCAGTATTGGCTCCTAGTACTCCACAGAGCCCTCACTCACCCCTGAATGAAAGGTTATTGTTGAATTCAAATGGACTGGAGCAGAGCCTTATGGAAGACAGCAGGTCCTGGGGTACCACAACCAGTTGTCAGGGACAACCTGGTATTTTGCACTGTATACTTCAAAAATGATAAACCAGAGGATGTGTAAACTGTGTTCTAACAAGAAGAAAATCCATAATTCAGGACAGCACAGAAAGCACCTGGTTTCATGCTTCATTTCCATTTCTAAACATAGAAGAGGCTCACAGAAGCATCTGCTGAGCTTCTGAATGAGTTTGGATCAGCTGCGAGTTCCTGCATGCCAAAAGCAAGCCAAAGTCACACATGAAATCAGGCCAATCTCAGGGACACCGAGGTCAGCCTACATCCCAAACTGAGAGCAGAAGCACATACCTTTTGGTTTTTCATTTCTGCTATTACTTTCTCTCCCCTTATCGACAAGGATGGTCAGATTAGATGGAGCTTTGCAAGTGGAAAAAGATGTTGCTGTTCCATGAAGAGGTTCAAGTTTAGTAAGGTAAAGAGTTAAAGCAAAACCTAAGACTCCAGGGTATCTCCAGCGAGTGCCTCAGATCACTGGATCTGGATTACAGCCTGAGGGCTACAACAACATCAGTGGAAACTCCGGAGAGCAGAGCAGATCTTCTGGAGTGCCACTGGCTGTACAGAAGAAAGGTCTTCATTTGCTTGGTTTGAAGGGCTCTCGAAAAGGAAAATTACTTGGAGCACAGAAATAATGAAAAGTGTCACTCTTGCTCTCAGCTGCGGGATTTTATTCTCCCCAGTGGGGTGCAACATTTACCTCTGTCTTGGCTATCCGATGAAGGAAAAAGTGCAGTGAGTCTGCAGTCACATCTGATCTGCCACAGCCAGCACAAACCTGGCAAAGGTGATGGAAGTTGTCATCCCCCTGGGACTACGAAGGGCACATGAACTTGTAGCCCCTGCCACCACCCGCACAGACACCCACAGAGGCCACGCAGGGTCACAGCCCTTGAGTCTGAAGGGAACTGCTGCACGTACCAGCACGAGGCACGCTAACGAAACAGCAGCCAGTGCTGCTGCTGCTTTCTGCCATCGCTACCACTATGAGAAGCAGAAGGCCTGTGGACGTGGGGTGACACTGCCAACGCTGAAAGTATCCACATCCCCTTTTCAGAAATGCCCTGCAGATCTGTGCTGCCACAGAGGTGGGGAGACACCTCCAAGGAGGCTGGCACAGCCCAGGGACCAGCTCTAAAAAATCAGCAGTCACATCCCTGTGATGCTGCCCCTGACCTCACCATCCCATCTCACCAGGGCAACTCGGTGGAGGTACATAGTACAGGGGGGATCCACAGCTTCAGAGCTGGTTTGGTGTCTGATCTCAGCCCTGCTGCTGAGGCACAGCTGTCTTGCAGGGCCTCACAAGGTTTCTCTGCCCAGAACTTCCCAAAGGTTCAGCTTCCAGAGCAGTAAATGTTTGCCGATCTGTAATATCTGCCTTTGCCCTATGTGGTGGCAGTACTTTGGAAATAGGATTTAAACTCCTTTGAGGATATAATCCCAACAGGCAGTTATGCTAAGACCACCAAGCACATACCAGGCAAATAACATTAGCAAATTCTAAAACAAGTGCATATGTAACGTAATTTATACTTATCAGGAGGGCACTTCATAGAGCAGGAAAAATATGAATTGGTCTGCTAAGACCAGCATTTGGGGAAAACAAAAAGCTCTTGGAAGAACTGTAAATGCTTTCCCTTACCAGCAAGCTACATATACCAGCACACCCTTTAAAGCTTCTGGTCATCACCCTGCAAGCTTGTTTGATTTTCCTGTGCTCTCATCTGGAGTTGCTAGGATGAGCACGGGAGTCATGCCTGAATCCCCGTAGTGCAGTGGCAGTGCAGGATTCCTGCTGGAGGACGGTGGAGATGCCAAAAGGCAAAGAATCCGGCCTTGCTGCTGGTGTCAGTGCTGACAGCGAGCCACCCAGCTGCCTCAGCTGAAAATTAGTCTCTCTGTCTCTCCCGTCCTGATGAATATTGATGAACTTCACAGCATCAAACGAAGCAAAGGCAGGACAGCTGTTTGAAGGGACAAACACTTCAGCTCTGGATTGGAAAGAAAGGAACAGACGCAGACAGGGGAGTGGCTGCGATGAGCCAAGGCAGCCTTCTCCCTCATTTGTCAAACTGTGATTTACAGACACACTTCCACTCACCCTGTGGCTGCCATTTTCCACATCCTATGTCCACAAATCTCTCGTGCTAATTAGATAGGCAATATGTGGGCTGCCTCCTCTATAAAAAGCTGCTCTGAACTGGGATGCTTCCCAGCTCATTTTAATAAATCATGACTGTAATTAAATTCTTTTGCTGTATATTTCTGCAGTAAAACCTGTATCATTCACTTTTTAGCCCTTTTTTTTTTTTTTTTTTTTTTTTTTTTGCTGGCCGGCCACCTATCATTTTGTCTTGCTTCTGAAGCTGCTTTTCCTGCCTGGTCATTTGAAGAGTACCATCTGCTTGGAACCACCAGTCTAATTCTGCTTCTTCCTCCTTGTCCACACTTTCAGAGCCTTTCCTCATTCTGTCCATCCCCAAAGCCCCACTCATGCTTCCAGCCACTGCCCATACCATCAGTGACTACTTCAACTCACCCAATTTTCAGCTCAACAAGGCCATCCCACTTGCCTCAAGGGCCACTTTTACCAGCGTGCTAACAAGTGAACCTGACACAACCCCTTCCCAACCCCTTCTGTGCTGGCAGGAGATGGGGAGGAAGCCCTGAGCTGGGTGCTCACACTCCTTTGGGTTTGGGGAAGCAACAATTGGCTTGAAATGATCACAGCCAGCATGCCAGCCAGCTGGCTGCAGCCACCTCAAAGCAAACACAACTGCCCGAAGCAAGGGTTGGTAATGTCAATCATGATGGACAGGCACTGTGCTGGCTAAGCAGCACGTTTCATTATTCACTTTGCTAACTTACCTGAAAGAAATTGTCCAGAAGCAACAAAAAAAAGAACCTGCGATTAGAAATAATTCTCCATCTCTTCATGGGAGCAGCAGTTCTGAAGCCTCTGATGGCCAAGGCTCACACCACGTTGGCTGTAGCCCATGGCAGCTCAGCAGGGCAGGATTCAGGTGGACAAGGGAGGCTCACCTGGGCCCAAGGCACCATCCTTCACTGGAGACTGTGCCATGAGGTATGGAAACCACAGCTCTCAGAGCTGTGCCTGTGGTGGTGCCTTGCCAGGACTCTCGGCCTCCTGCAGGCTGCACCTTTTAGCTACAGACTTGAGGGCCTGGACAGAAAGTAATTAGTAGTAGTAGTAATTTTTAGCTATCGAAGTAAGAATTTTGCACAGAGAGGAAAATATTTTCTAACTGGTTCTGTCAGCAAAGACCTTGAGGCAAACGGAAGCACAGACACTTACACATGGGGCCCACTGGCCAGAGTGAAGGCTGTGGGTACAGCTGGGAGGGGAACCCAAGAGCCCCCATCCTCAGCTTTAAATCTCACTCCATCACCAGCCTTCGCTTAATTTTAATAAGGGTCCTGTCAATCCTAGTGCTTAGAGATAACAAGGCTGACCTCAGGAGCCACGTTTTGGCAAAATGGCAAAAACCTAAAAGACAAAGGAGACGTAAACGGACTGAGAAGTTGGACAGGATCCGGATCTGCTAAAACAGTGTTAACATTGAGTCTTTTCCTCGGTTTAAAAAAGCATTTCTGAGACAGGGGTGCGTCAAGCAGAATCTTGTTTTGTGCTCCTTCAGGAAATTTCTTAATAACTTTTTTTTTAACAGGGTCATGTTTAAAAGGGAGAGCCCCTTGTCTTTCACCTCCTCAAAAGCATGCTGTAAAAAGCGCTAATGTATGAGGTTATAATATAGTGTGGGTATAAAACATTCATTCATATATATTCGTTCATTTCAGATTCAGAATAGACTGAGATATGCCTCTTTTTGCATAACTCCAAGCTCAGCTTTGAACATGTAAGTGGGGAAAATTAACATTAAAATGAAGCCTTAAACTGCGGTTCCTTGAAAGATGCAGAGCATGAGGAATTCAAATGGCTCTCACTCAGTGACCCAGTTAAAATATACAGCTCAGGACTGCAAGTTGGTGGCAGGCATTTCGGGGACATCAGGAGGTGGAGGCTGCCTCTGCCCTTCTCCCAGCTTCGCTGCAAGCTGCTCTTCCAAGGCAGGCCCCAGAAATAAGCAGGTGGCCAGAGCAGGTTTCCCTAGAAGGTGTTCCCATGAGGTGGGATTACCCTCAGGCCTTACCAGGTAACAGGAAAACACTTGAGATTGAGGATGGGCTCCACGGAGAGGTGGCGAGGTAGCATACGATCGCGGGTAACATCACGTAGGTACCACTTGTATTGAAAATGCAGCTGCTGCTCCACATTAATACAAAGTCAAAATGTGTTCTATCAGATGAAGGAGAAATAACATCTCGGCATTTCCTATTATGTAAAAATGGCTTTGTTGAAAGAGGCAATATCTGAGTTCGGGGAACAGAGAAAATGAACTCCTTTTTTTTTCTTTTCTTTTTATTAGAAAAAGCATATTCTGACTACAGCAAGCAATCAAGTGAGCTAATATACAGCATTGTAGTGCTGTGTTGGTACAAAACCAGTGTCCTTGCCCTGCAGAAGGGTAGCAGAGCACACCATCAGCGTGGGGGGCCTCGTGAAGCTTTGCCCTCAGGACCCCCGAGTTGCCTGCCTTCCTCCAAGAAAACTCACAGACCATTACGAGGGAAGCTGAAGTGACAAAAGTTGTCATCTTTTCCACTATGTCCTTTGTCTCCTAGTGACAAGCTGCCTTATTCTTAAGGCAAAGTGCAGGAACAAGGGAAGCTTACAGCCACTGCAGCACCACAAAGACAGATGCCAGGAGCACCAGCCCCAGCCCCGTCAGTGAGAGCCACAGCAAAGCCTCGGTTTCCCTGTGGATTATCTGCTAGGGGAAAAGGGCAGCATGGATCTGGCAAACTTACATGTTCTCAGTGGAAAAAGACGTCATGGCTGCGTTCCTCTTCTTTGTGTTATTAGCTTCGGGTTTCATTTCTTTTTTCTTTCTCATCCATTTGCAGCTGCCGGGCAGGGTCTGAAGGAGGCCCCCGTGCAGTAGGCGTGAGCGTGACCTTTCCGTGTTACACAAAGGATGAGCCGTGGCTGAGATAAGCAGCTCTACAGCCCCCTGCCTTTTCTCCTGTTTCTGATCCTCTCAGCCATACCCCAACCAGGCCTGCTTTTCCAGGGACGGGAAGCAAAGACAACGCAGTGATGGAGTTTGGGGAATCAAGTGGTAATTTATGGTTAGAAGGCAACATGAAAGCAACCTGCTGGTTGTACTGTTACTAATACAGCCGGGTGTCAGCTCTCGTTGTGATGGCACATTCTTGACTCGTGTTCAGCTTTATATCCACCAGGACCTCCAGGTCCTTTTATATAAAGCTGATTTCTAGCTAGCCAGTCTCCAGTTTGTACTGTTGTGTGGGGTCACTATTTCACAGGTGCAGGACTTTGCTTTTGCCTTCTTGAACTTCATGATGCTTCTGTCATCTAATTTCTCCAGCTTGTTCACATCCCCCTGAATGATGGCAGCCTGGCCCACTAGCATATCAACTACACCCAATGTATAAAATAACTGCAAGCAGCATCATGAACGATATGATAGTCAGCTTAATGGCACTGTATAAACTGAGAATGCAGCAGGACTGACAGCTATGCTGCGTTCATCCTTTTACGAGATGTAAAAACACCCCATGTTGCTGTCCTTCACAGGGTGGTTGATGCCCTTACTTTTGAAGATGAAACCAAAGGATGATGCAGTTTACAGAAGGAGCTTACAGAATTCCTCTGAGAAGATTTAGCAAGGGGTAGTAGAATTAAGGTGCCTTTTTATCTCTATCTCCACTCCCAGAAATCAAAATTGTTAGCATCAACCCAAAGCATGAAGCACATCATCTAATCTGGGAAAAAAAGATGCACTTTCCTGTGACCTTAGCTCAGTCATATAGGTCAGGCAGCAAAAATGAGCTGCTTAAAATAACATCTAAGCTGAGCTTCACTGCTCCTCTACATAGGCATTTGTCCACAGGAGGGAGAAAAAAAAAAAAAAGCTCTATTTCCTTTTTGAGAGCTGCTAATAAATGCCACATTTTGTCTCCAGAGCTGCTTAGTCATTCAAATAAAGACAACAGCTAAGTAACAACAAGCAAGAATTAAATGGAAGATAATGCTGTGGTCTCAGCCATGCAAAGCCTAAATGTTTATTACTCAGAGTGAAGGGGGAAATGGTTCCTCTCCAAGAACTGTGCTGACAGCAATATCTGCACCTTCCTCTTCCTGTTTTCGCTCTTCCCACACAGCAGTGGTTTCATCTGGCCCGTTTGGATCATCTATCACGGCACGTTGAAACACCACGCAGTAAATCAATGGAATCAATTCTTGAATCCATTAGAGTCAAGTGCATGCTTAGAAAAATCCAAAGAAAATTTGGAGAAACTTACCAGCTCAAAGGGAGACATGGGGCAGTTTCCAATGTTCAGACCCAGATGGCAGAATAGCAACTGTGAGGACTTGTCTACCTGAAAGAGAGGGTTGGCAGCCGGTCCTAGGGATGGAGACTCCTGCTATCACTGTTTCATGTTTCATGAAACATGCTGAACATGTTTCCTACTTACCTACAGCCTCCCCAGAGAGGTGCTAAAAAGTGAATTTGGGGAGTATAAACAAGAAAACAATAAATCAGACAAAGGGACCTCAGAGGTACCTCCCAAACCTAAAGGGCTCAGAAATCTATCATGTGCTTAAAGCCCAGCACAGAAAATCAACCCCTTCCTGGGCAGCTCTGAGCACCTCAGTGCTGAGTGGTGGGGATGGTGGGATTTTGACTTCCTCATGAAGGCCACTGCTCTGCCGGAAGAGGTTGTTCAGTTCACTGACAGCGTGGAGTAAGCAACAGATAGGAAATGGAGTAAGCCAAGGACAGTAACTATGCAATTAGGAGAGGGAGGAAGAGAGAGAAAGGAGGCAAGGCATGGAAAGGAGTGCTTGGTAGTATGAAAAGCAGCTATTTCAAAAAGCAAAGGACACAGAGAAATTATACAAACTAGTTAGAGGAACAGCTCTACTCTTAGCCTGGTAAATGCACGCCCAGCCAGTCCTTAAACTTGGACTTGTGCACCACAACTCCACACTAGCCTTTCTGTTTTTTTCCTCTCTCTCTCTGAGGTTGCAGAGCTGGGGGAGACTCCCCACCTGGGAAGAACTGCAGGAACTCAGCCATGGCTCCTGCCCAGAGCCTGCAGGCTGAGGAGTAGCAGAAGCTGGCTCAGGAACCACCACCTCTCGCTGCGGCACCTAACTCAGCGCCAAGATGGACAACAGCTCTGGGCCACCTTCCTTTCTTCCCCTTCTCTCTCCATGAATGCTGAGCTGCCAGATTCAAAATCTAGATTTCCCAAGTTCAAAGCAGAGCAGGCATTTGGGATCCACCACCTTGCAGCTATGAGGAGTGGCAGAACTGTGTCAGCTCCACTGGGTAACCTTGCCTCCAGACTTGGCAGGGAGGACCCGCTAGGGTGCTCAGGCATCCAGGAAAACCCACGAGCTCGAGGTCAGAAGACCTTTTCATTCAACCAAGGCAGATTGTGGCTCTGCAAGAAGCAGATTCCCGACCTCTGTTTCCCACTGACTTCAGGATTCAGCAGATTCCTGCCTCCTATGGCACCTCACCACTGGGAGAAGCTGCTGCTCTTGGCTGCCTGCTCCTGAAACCGTTTCCTGCTGAGCCTCAGGCCACATCCCTTCTCCAAGGTTCCTTATGCCAACAGCTCTGCACAATGCAGAGTGAGGGAATAGCTTTGACACTGAAAAGGAATTTCATTATCCTTGCAACCCCGGGACGTCTGCAAGCAGTTTCCACCAAGAAAAAACATAAACATACATTTCAGCCTCATCAAAACAAACTCTCTTAGAGGAACTCCGCTTGGAACGGCTCTTGCCAGCAGTGGAGAAAGGAGATGCTGCCACAAACCACTTCAGTGACTGAGTGCTCAGCAGGGTCAGCTGTGATATGGGAAAACCCTTTCCCTGAACTAGGGCTGGACCCATGGATTCCAGCATCCTTGCTATGTCCTTGCTAGGTAACGTGGGTCCTTTTGCAACCTCCCTGTTTTGTGGTGCAGGAGGAAGCTGCCATTACAACACCCAGTGAGCTCCCAGCTCTGAGATCTAATAAGCAGGAGCTGGAAGCTCCGTGCTGTTCTTTAAAAGTCTGCTGCTTTAAATTCAGCTGCAGGGACTCGTTCCTACGGTAGAAAACAGTCCTTCTGCTGGAGTCAGATCTAAGCTCAAATAGCTTTGCTCTGCTGCTTACCCCAGGACATTGCCTGATAATAATCCTTTTGCACATGGCCACTTCCTTGGGGTTCCTGCTTCCATGGCTCCGCTCGCAAATAATCTGAATGCCTCCTTTGCTTTTCAAAGAGCCTCTCTCCTTCTCTCCAGAGGGGAAGCTAATCTGCTCATTTCTTCATTTCCATTTGGTGAGCCATTAAACCCAGGGAACAGAGTCTGTGTCGTAGAAATTCACTGAAGTACCCACTGCGAGACCTGCCTGAAGGGTATCTTTTGTCCTTGTTCAGCTCCTATGCTCGCTTTATCCCTTGGATGCAACATACACCATGCAAGTCCTGTTGGCTTGTTATCCCCAGGACAAAGAAAAAATAAATAAAAATTAGCCTAACCACAGAGAAATGACGTATATTGGCTCATCAGCCATTTCCCCTCCTCCACAATATCTTTTGTTACAAAAAGGGTGCCAAAATGCAGAAGAAAGCCTTTGTTTGTCTTTCAGACATGGAGAACCTGAACTCACTCCCCCGCCAAATCTGCAAGGATACCTGTTCCCTCCCCAAACAGAAAGCCACCAACCTTGCTCGGTCTCTGCCTGACAGCCACCCAGAAGGATCCAAGCAAGAGTCGGAGGCCCAATAAAATAGATGTTGTGCCTCGCTCTGAAATAGATACGGCAAGATGAGCTGGCGAGGAAGAAAGAGTCAATTTGTCTCGAGCCCCTGTAAAATCCCAGACTGTGTTCTCAGTAATATGATCAGATTTGGGGCTAGATGATCAGCTTTGGCAGTCCTAATAGAGTCTGTCTGCCAGTACTGTAATTGTAAACACAACCAACATCTGAATATAATAATAATAATGATAAAAAGTAATGTTACCATGGCCCACACCCACTGGGATGTCTCATTTTTGCTTTGGCTTTAGGATAAAGGGCGATGAGGATGTTTGGATCAGCAGCTTCATTTCAGCCAGTGTTTCTGATAAGTCTGTCACCACATTTGTCTCTGGAAAATATTAAGCACAACATAGAGCTCATTCCTCGATGATGTACAAGCAGCTTGTTTTTCTCATTTCACCACAAATCTTATTTATATATACACTGCAAATAGATTGATACCACACACAGAGCACATCTATAGGGCCTGATTTGCCAGTGTTATATTAGATTTACGGCCTTGTAATTCCATAGACTTTAATGAGTTTTACCAGACTAAAGCTGGTTCCTAAAGAGAAAGGATATATCATGAACATGCACACATTACTTGTATACCCACCCAGAAATGTTAGTACAGGCAGACACCTGGCACAGATGACAGCAGTTAAATTTGCTTCGCATTTCCTTTTATAAGGCCCTGATTTCAGTTGCTCCTAACTGCCAAACATTTGATGTTTGGGCAGAAATTTTCCTTCTAATGTGCTTGCCTCAGGCTAAGTGTTTTCAGACAGTTCCAGCAGAAGCGGTGCCGGCGTGTAGCCCCAAAGCAACAGGCAACGTCTGTCCCAGCGGACAACAGGCGCTTTTAGGATAAATTTGGGGGAAACCACAGTGTTTCACCAATATTAAGAAAGGCTCCGACTGCCTTATTTAGAAGGTCCCGAAGCTTTGAAGCAAGGATTTGAAACGCTGAAAGGAAATCGGATGTTGTAACCCAGAAATGGTTACAACAAGCCTAACCCAGCCGTTCATACTCCACTTTGCTTTGCGCTGAGCTCTGAGTTACCCACACGTGCTAACGCCGGCATGTCCTTTTGCAGTGGGAGACCTCTGGGCTTAAACAAGGCACGTAGCAAACCCACAGCGGGTTCTTATAAAGCCATTTGCAAGGAGCTGATCGATGCTGTAAGTCTTCTGCCACACAACCACATTGTGCTTGCAACACCTGCCGCTTCACTGGCTTCAGCTTACTGAGGCTGGCTGACTTTGGAGGGTCACAGAGATAGCACCATGGGTCAGCAGCAAGCTTTAGGAGAGGACAGAAAGAGGGAACGAGGCAGCTGCCTTAGCTTAGAGTGAGTTTTTGTTTTAATTTTTAATTTTGCTTTTTATAAACAGCTGCTGACAATGCACTGGTTAACACTGCCAAAAAAAAAAAAAAATCCTTACCGTTGTCTTTGCTTTGCTATATTCGTTTCAGATGCTTACCCCTAAGGAAATACAGTAGATATTGCAGAATGATGTGCTTTTCTTCATGCGTCAATGGTCTTTAGGTAACACAGAAAAAGAGAAATGTAGGGTGGGCTAGATCCTTGGAGCTAAAAGCTCCAACAACCAACATTACTCTAGAACAGGGTCAAGGATGAAGCAAGGTTTTCTATAATTGCTCATCTTCGGTGCTGAGGATCGCTGTGGCACAAGCCAGAAGAGCACCATGCCACCACGTGCAGGTGGCACCTCTCCTATGGCACACCCTATGCTCTTAGAACAGAGCATTCCACCTTTAACTTGCACTTACTTTGCCATTTCGTGCAACTCTGCAGACTCTCTGCTGACCAGGCACAGCGGCCACTGCCAGCTGCGGGCTGCAGACCACCCTGCCACTGCGAAGAGCTCCTCTGCGCTTTCGCCGCACGCTCTGAGCTCAAGTGGAGGTCTCTGCTAAATCTCAATCTAAATAGCTCAATCTAAATAGCTCAGCCATTTTGCTGACCCCTGTGAGGGTACATATGGTTCCATATGGTGGGAAATCTGCCCTTTTTTTTGTTTTTTAAATTTGCTCCTAAGATCAAGTGTAGGAAAATATAAACAAAACTATGGTAGGAGAATATTAAGGTTGCAGAATCAAGCGCTTATAAGTCAGGAACTGGCTGACAAGGTTTCTGTCACATAAAAGAAAGATCGAAATAAATATGTTTTGATAGCAAAAAAAAAAAAAAATGCTCTCTGCATGACAGGCTAGATAAATAGAAATAAAAGAATGAGGCTGCTTTGTTTGAGAACAGCTTCTTAAATCATGATCATCTTTCCAGACCATTTCCTTCTCTCCTCCCTAAACTCCTGCCAAATTGCAGCTAGGTTTAACACGAACATTTCACAAAGAGTTGATCTTTGTACTTGAGAGATAGGCAAAGTCTGGGCTTCAGAGGTGATTCTTTTAGATCATTTTTGAAGAGTTATACTGGTGTAAATTGAGTACCTTAAAAATTCACCACACTGGAAACCTGCAGTACTACATAATTCCTCCCATAATTTTTCTTCCTTTTTAAAGAGAACATTCATCCCCGCAGTGGGTCTGCTATAGTTAAGGGAAAGACTTATCAAGATGAAATTTGCTCTCCGCAAAAGGAGAAAAGAAGATTTCAGAACGAGTCCACTCAGGGTTATGCGAACAACCCCGCATTTCCCCACATCCCAAACAAGCATTGCATGCGTTGTGCTTCATCAAGAAGAAAAGCGTCTCCCAAAAACCCAAGGAAAGGTGCTGGCTTGCTGTGAGGGAAGCAGAAGCTTCCCTGGCCAGGCTGCCCCTGGCTCAGAGCAGCAGCCAGCAGTGGGTGATGGCTCAGGGAGGCTTAACAGCCACCCACACCACATGTTGCCCAAATGCCAGCCTGGCACACACACTGCTGGCAGCAGAGCCCACAAGGGCAGCAAATGTTCGCTGGCTGGCACTCACAGCCCAGCCCAAGGTGCCTGAGGAACGGCTGGGTGCTCTGTTCCTGCTCCTTGGGTGCAGGAAGTGAATCCTGGACCGAATCCTGCGGTGAGAACAGCGATAAGGTGCTGGAGGAAGGCAGAAGTCACGCTGCAGCAGTCATCTTTTGAGCCAATGCTGAGGATCTACTGGGTTCCACCCTACAGGAGACACTGAGTGAAAGGCTTGGCTGCTGAACAATACCAGGGAGGCTAAAAGAAAAGAAATCAAAGCTAGAAGGGTGGCAAAACAAACAAGCAAGTCATTTGAAATCAAAACACATTCAAAACCCACCTCCCTTGAAAGAGATCCTGCCTGCTGCATGCCCTGCAGCACTCTGTCTCCAGCAGTTACAGTGGCAAGCTTTGCAGAGCCTTATCTGCATGTCGGGAAGGGCACCTGAAGCAAACAGGCTTGAAATCTGGCGCCACTGTTCACGCAGATCCTGCTGCAAAAGGGCTCTTCCTAGAGCAAGCAGGATCTTCAAATGCCAGTCAGGCAGGGAACTTGCAGAGGAAACGAGCAGGGGAGCAGCACAGGCTGCAAAAAGCTGAGCCTGCTGGGCTGAACTGTAGGACAGCCACAGCTTATGGCAAGGATCGAGCACAAAGGAGAGGGTGATTAGCAAAAAAAGTCCCAGCTAAAAGGGCAACAAGGCCTATTCCTACCTGTCAGGTTCTGCCTTTCACTGACAGAAGCTACGCTTTCTGTAAGGAGCATTTTACTAGACTCCCAGAACCGCAGACATCAGTGCAGGCAAGATCATAGCTCTGGAGGAGGGCCAGCAGAGTTCAAAGCCCTCTGCTGAAAACCAAAGCAACTCTGACAAGCATTGAGGTAAAATTTATGAGGTCCTGATTGCTAAAAACCTATGTTTGGGATATAAAAAACAAAAAGTAACAATTATGCCACCCACACTGTTTATTCTTTTCTTATGTGTGGCGCTTTGGGCTAGCATGCTGACATATAAAACAATCTGAGCACTTTTTAGATTGGATTTATAGCATTCCTAGACTGACATTTAGTATCATGGTTTGCAGTTAAGCATAATATTCAACAAGCCACCTGCCTCTATAAATGTCACGATTTGGGCTCAAACTTGGTTTACACACAGCTCAAAGGAACCCGTTCTTTCAGTGAGCGCCTGTTTACAAGGAGCTTTCACGGCACACAGCACTGAAAAAAAAATCAATTTGTAGAAAATAAAGATAAAGGTGAAAGTCTTGCGTGATTTATCTTGTTTGGAAGCGGTAGAGAGGGGCATGTGAAATCTGCATTCCAGAAAAGATCAGCACTGCCCACAGAATAAATTGGCGCTGGCTGGTGCAAGCAGCTACCCTGCGAGAAACACGGCGAATAGCTCACAGGGAAGAGCAGAGGATTGCCAGGTGGGGTGGCTGAAAGCCTCAAGTTTTCACATCTGGAGGTTCCTGAGCCTTTTACAAAGCACCGGAGCTGCCCACAGGGACACTCTGTCTGGCTCTGGATTCTTTGGTGCAAGTGTTGCTAAAAGGTAGACATCCTGCTACATCCACGGTGACAGGAGGAGAATCAAGTGTGGGATGCACAAAGGCAGAAGCACATCGGGACTGTAGATGGAAAGAGACCTCTGCAGGTCACCTCATCCAACTTCCTGCTCAAAGCAGGGCCAGCGAGAGTAGACTGCCTGGGGCCTTGTCCTCGTTCATTAGGCTGAAATGCAAGCAGTGCCACAGCTGCTCTGTTGCTTCTCTGATCACAGAGATGCATCACCTAGATGCATGCTCCAAAACCAGAATAGTTGCCCCACGGTCTTAGGGAGGGATTCTGTTGGGCAGCAGAAGCCATTGATAAATTTACCGGTGCTCTTCACAACTCTGTATGACAGTGGGGCACAGGGAGGGCTCCATCAAGCTCCCATTGCTAGTACAAGATCTGGCAATTTGCTGTTTTACGAAGAAGAAGAGCCCATTCAATGATTCCCTGGGGTCTAGTCACACCACAGACCAGGGAGACTAGGAGCTGAACGTTTCTGGAAAAGGAGCATTACGTTGAGGTACTCTGCAGAGCAATTGGGTGTGCTCCAAGTCCAGATTCTCCAAATAGATAATCAGGTCAGAAAACAAGCCATTTATAGCAGGGACATAACAGACATTGCTCTGCTATAATGAAGCTCTCTTCTGCTTGGAAGAAATATTCTGGTGTGACAAGATAATTTCTCACCTGGATTTAAATGCTATGGTGTCTG